CATATTTTCCTTTTGTAGATGCTCTTTACCTATCCTTCTCTCTCTATATCTATCTATCTATCTATCTATCTATCTATCTATCTATATCCACACACAAGTTGACATTGAATTGAATAGCCAGAGATGACAATCTTTTTCAAGTTAAACTCAATCGTCAGAAAATGTGTGCTGTGTTATTGCTCGACTTCTTATACATAAAACGTCCCTTACATGTCAGTTTCTTGCAGAACAATGTTGTATACCAAACCACTGTAAAATCAGCAGATAACGAATAAAAATACATATCGGAATAAGTGAAGGACCCTGGAAGCAAAGAAAGCATGAACACAAAAACATCCTTTACAAGTTGTAAATAGGCAAACAGCATATGTCTTCAAGATTAAAAACCACAAAACAAATGCCACCAAAAATTTCCTGGAAAAGAAATAAGCTTACAACTATCAATCCAAAAAACTGTAAACTCTGCCTGGAGAAAAAATAGCCATAATTAACTTACCAGGCCGAAACATCAAGTAAACGAACGGAACTCATCTTAATATCCATACACAAAACCAAATTTTTACTACGTTTCTAAAAAAATAGAATAATTGAAATCGAACAAGAATGAATGAAAATGAATGAATAAAATGAAATAAATAGACAAACATGGCCGGACGATTGCATTTAGTATGAAACAGACTATGAGTTTAATTCAATGTCAACTTTTGAATTCACATCCGCTCTATATCTGATATTGAGCACTTTAACCCATAAATATAGCATAACTTAAGACTATATTTGATCACAAACACAGAGAGACACATTCACACACATTAAACACACTCACACACATATATACTGTATTGGTGTAGCAAATCATTATTTAAACATGCATTATTGAATATAACAGACAATGAATGTCAATTATGTCTAATCATGAGCCTTTTCAATGTTCGAATGCTTGCTTTAATTTCGGGTGAAAATACACAGAGTAAAAAGAACCATTCAGATACTGGACGCCTTCAACATTAAAACGAAACAACATACAATCGAGAAAATTGCATTGAAAACTAGTCACAACAGATTACATTGCATCTAGATATTGGTTCTGTTGTAATACTTCGGCCTATCTCGGAGTATGACGTCATAGTACTGCATCTTGAACTTAGGATCTGCGTCTGCTATTCTGCGACCGTTATCCTCGTGCGGCAGTTTTCTGCCAAAATAACAAAATATCATCTTTGACGGTGGATATCATTGTTTTACGTGTGTATAACCAATCGGGGGATGTTTCAGGTGAGCCGAAAGCTTAGGACAAACATAATAAAAAAAATATCCAAATGTTGGACAATTTTTGTCTTTATTTTCGCCCGAAATTAAAGCAAAGATTCGAACGTTAGAACGTCTCAAGTTCACGCATAATAAGAATGTATGTTTATATATATATATATATACACATATATATATGTACCCAAGCCGCTATCCATTACTCCACCGTGCCTCCGAGAGTCGCGTTCGAATTCCACTAGAAGCCATTACATTCACTTACGTGTTAATAGCCTTGGGAAAGATGCGAATCCTCTTCTTCTCCCTCCAGTAGTGAGTAAATAGCAGGACAGACTGGGTTCTATAACCTTGGATGGCACCTGGTCTAGGAGAAGAACAACTCTGAATTAAAACCTGCGGAGGGTCGTTTGGGGAACTTGTGGCACTTAGTGCACCAGGTCTCTGTAATCGGCCCTTCAAAAAGTGTGGATGATCCTGCACGAAACCTTCACCACTATAATCAAATCTCATGTTCTGTTATCGGCCTGTCGGTTTCATAGGAGCTGATCTGTTTGACCCTCATACGTCGAATTCGACGGGAGAGTCAATATATATATATATATATATATATATATATATATATATATATATATATATATATATATATATATCAAGACAATGATTTCCAAGAAAAGATGAATGATTAATTGGAAAACGCGTTTCATTGGTTACGACTTCACACGACTTGGTTTGTTGACATTGTTATGAATACAGATGCGCCTGAATGAAAGACTCCGGAAGCTTCAAAATGTTCGAATGTTTTTTTTTATTCTTTTTTTTTGTAATCATTGTTTAAAGATACACGTATATATTACCTTACCAGATATCTAAAAATCGTATATAAATACGTCAGATATGATTTGAGTGTTTTAAAAAGGAAACTGATATTCTAGTACACACGTTATATATTTCTTGTTCACCCCTTTTTCATTTCTAGTCAAACTTCGCTTTCTTTAGAATAAAGGCCAAGACATATGACCTGATGCTCTTAAACAACCATTCAAATAAGCATATATATGGTTGCATTATTTAATTATTTGATGGAAAATAAAATTTGAGATGAAAAAAAAATAATTTCATCTCAACGTTTAGGAAATATACATGTTCATCTTTCAATAAATATTTACCCCTGGCAATGTAATTTTAGAAAGAGACGTATGCTTGTTACTGCGCCAATAAAATGGATTGATGATAGTTTTTATTATAATTGAAAAAAAATTGTGCAGTTATTGACCTCAAGGAGAGCTCTGGAAATAATTCTTTTGCTATTAGACTGAAAGGTTTCTAATAGATTTCAAAATAATGACTAAGTCTCTGTATTATACACACACACACACACACACACACACACACACACACACACACACACACACACACACACACACATACACACAAACACACACACATATATATATATATATATATATATATATAATTAAATGGAAGAAACACAGTTTGACGAACTGGGAAAAATCTCGTCGCAGAAAAAACATGAAACTATGATACAAGTTGCTATAGAGAGTATAAGAAACGCATAAAATCATATTGAGAATAAACGGTAATAAGAGAACAGGTTCTAAGGAGCAAGAGGATGTCAAGCAAAGTTGCATTTAAATTTTTTAACATCTTATTTGAATGGTAAACAAGAAACTCGAAGAAACTTCCAGAGGTTAGAAGTGCGACTGAATAAACCATAGGAATAAATCATAGATATGTGAATTTTACGATTATATATATATATATATATGTATTATTATTATTATTAATAGAAATCTCATAAGTATAAGAAACTATACTCGCTCGGAAAACCTTTGTTCTTTTGATTTGCAAATAAACAAGCCAATACCAAAGGAAAAAAAAAAGGTACAAAAAAAGAAAGAACCAAGAACATGTACCTGAACCGAAAATAATCGTCCAGCATACGAGCTCAAGGCCCAAAGAATCCGATGCTAGTACTCAAAACAGCTAAATAAAGTGTTCAATACAATGAGTAGAGACATTCCCTGACGATCCGCTTAAGTTTAACTATATATATATATATATATATATATATATATATATATATATATATATATATATATGTTCAAATACAGGGTGGTAATGATAGATGAAAATTCCGATAAACAAAGCCAATATTTTTTAAAAAGTGCTCATTACAAAGTAGATCAAATAATATTTATTAAAAAAATTTGACATGGGGATGTTATAACATCACAACAAAAATACAAAAATATCCATTTTTTTCAACAGTTCTTATGTCTTATCAAGTTATGGTGTTGATTGTGAAATAAATAGTTTTTTGAAAATTCAAAACTAAATACACCCCAACTCAATAGGGGAAACCTTGTTGCGTAACCTATGAAGACCAATCAGAATACAAGCGTATTAAAATTCAATAAACCTGAGAGTGTATTCTAATAAAACAGTCAGTTGATCAAATTTAATGTTAGACTGAACTAGAAAAAATATGGTATAATTAAGTTTTAATTTCACAGTAAAATTAAAAGATACACATTTCAAATTCTAAATTATGCCTAGCCATTATTTTAAAAATATTACAGTTATTCAAAAATGAAACGGAAGAAAAGAATATATATATATATATATATGTGTGTGTGTGTGTGTGTGTGTGTGTGTGTGTGTGTGTGTGTGTGTGTGTGTGTGTGTATGATACTTGCCTGGCACATGTCAGAGGGTATCCACCAGACGACGCTATGTCCAAAGGGCAGAGTCTCGTCTTGGGGAACTGACTCCGTTTTTACGTGATCTATAGGGAATTTTCGCCCGACCCAAAAGGCTCGGATACCCCACTTTAAAACTCGCCCATGTGCCACATCTTGCTGCGTGAGGCAGCGTGTAAATAATTACACACACACACACACACACACACACACGACAAATGCCAGGAATCAATTTTCTAACAACTATTTATATTCAAGCCCATATATATAGTTTTTTCAAATTTTTTAATTAAAGTACGCCAATCAGATCAGCGGGAATTTTACATACATACAAACACACATACACGTGCGTGCACACACATACGCGCGTGAACACACACACAGACATATATATATATATATATATATATATATATATATATATATATATATATATATATATTATTGGTGGATTACCGCCCCTGACGATAATCTTAGGCGGCGCGAGATTTGAAATTTTCTTCTTGTTTCCCGTTTGGCTTTGCTGGCGAGAGGACGTCTCTTTTCGCTCTGTCAGAGAAGCATACTCATGGTTGCTTTGAATTCTTGACAATTTTAACTCAGTTTTTCATTTTTTTGTATAACAAACCCGTTTAATATATTTAATATTACTTGCCGGTTAAAATTCCAGATTTGTCTTATTTATTTCGGCTTGGGCTCACATGATTCCGACATTATTTTTTGTGGGTCAAATGTATCAGTACCCCATAAATATTGATGACAAAAGGTCCAAAACTTGCAACAAAATCGGTGACTTTCGCAACAATATATATATATATATATATATATATATACGTGTGCGTTTGTTACGTCAGCAATGTCGGTTATTTTCTGACAAAGGAAGTTGACATAATGTAAAATAAATAATAACTGTCACTATAGTCGTAGCATGTAATTCAATAAATCATATTTATGTTGCACAAAGTATGAAGCATGGAAAATTTGCGACATTGGAGAAAATTGTACAAAATTCAATTAAAAAATATACTGGCTTGATGTGAATAAGCATGAAAGACGAAATTTTGAACGGCAAAAGATGTGGAAGAAAGAAAGGAAACACAGATAAAGGGAAGTAAATATAATGAAAAAGATCTTTAGAAAGAAAGAAAAAAGACTTAAGAAAATATAGATCGAATGGATAACAGCATGGTTGAATGAAAGGGCGGGAGAAAGAATGGAAGAAGACCACAGAAAATAAGGAATACTATAAGACACTCAGGAAGAAAAAGCAATGTAAAAATGTAAGTCTTATATAGATAAAAATGCCGTAATCAAGCGCATGGCAATAGAAAGAAAGAACGAAAGAAATTAAAAAGGAAGATAGTAAAATAACATTAAAAAAAACTAAACATTGCAAAGATGTAGAACAAAAGTAAGAAAGAAAAAAGAAGACAAAAGAAAAAAAAGAAGGCAAAAGAAAAAAAGAAGGAAATTTAAAAAAAGAAAGAAAGAACGAATGAAAATGTTCGAAAAACAAACGAAAGGAAATAGAAAGAAAAATCGAGTGGTATAACGCAAAAATTTTGACATAAAGAAAAGGAAGCGAGAACGTAAGTAAGAAGACAAAGAAAAAAAACGTTAAGAGGAAAGAAAATCTCGTGTAAGTTAAAGAAAAACGAGAAGTAATGGAAAAGGACAAGAAGTAACATAAGCAATAACTGAAAACTAAAACAACTACAAAGCAAGAGTTTTAACGACTGAATAGCGATATATTACGAAAGAAAGGAAAAATAAATGAAGCGAAAATAAAAAGGAAACAAGAGCCTACAACGAAAACATATCGCCAGGTAATAACAACTAGCAGAAAGAAAGGTAAAAGATAAAGAACGATAAAAGTAAAGGATGAAAAAGAGAAAAATGTAGAAAGAAAATAAACACAATAAAAAATAGATAAAAGAAAAAGAAAGAAGAAAGAAAGAAGAAAGAATGAAATAAACAGAACGAAAGAGAGATAAGCGAAAAGAATGAACAACAGACTGAAAGAAAGAAAGAAAGAAAGAAAGAAAGAAAGAAATTTAAGAAATAAATAAAGAAATAAAGAAATAAAGAAAGAAAGAAAGAAAGAACGAAATTTAAGAAATAAATAAATAAATAAAGAAAGAAAGAAAGAAAGAAAGAAGAAATAAAGAAAGCACATACAGGGAAGAGTAGATGAATGGAAAAGAATAAACAAGAAAAGAAAGATAGAAATATATAAGATATATACAACGAAAGATAGATAAAGGAAAAAGAAGAACCAAAAGAAGAGAAGAAATGAAGAAAATATATATAAAAGAAAAGATATATAAACAAAAAAAAAAAAATAAAGGCTTAAAGAAAGAAATAAAGAATGAAAGAAAGAAGAAATAAGAAAAACGATTCAACGAAAAATAATGAACAAAATAAATAAGAAAAGTACAACGAATAAAAACGAATGAACATAAGAAGGAAAAAAAGACAGTAAAAGAAAAAGAACGAACTACAACCAAAAGCAATATGCATATGTTTCAAACATATTTATTGCCTGACAATATATAGAACAATGAAGCGCCAATAAAGACTTTAAAGTATGTAATAAATGTAGAAAAACATATATTTTAGACTAAATTACTAAAAATAGGAAAAGAGAAATATAAGTTTAAATGAAAGGATGGAAGAAAGTGAAATAAGGAAGAAAAACATTTTGTTTAGAAATGCAATGAAAAGGAAAAATAGCAAAAAGAATTATACAGAAAAAGAAAGATGAGTATAACAAAAAAGTAACGTAAAAAAGAAATCAGATAATAAATAGAAACATATAAATGATTATTCAGAAACTAAACTGAAAGTAGAGTTGAAAACTAAGCACAGATAAGGTAATTATTTAAAAAAATGTTATTAGCATTTTACTGAATTTTGTTTCTTTACTCCTCGTTTTTTTTTCTTTTTTTGCTATCTCAATTTCCTTCCAGCCACAAAACTGCGGTATTTTTCGGACTGCGTCTCTTGGTAGAAAAGAGAATGTATTCCTACTTAAATGCACGCATACGCATCTATTGCATTGGAGGCGATGTTAAATTTGTGCAATTGAATAGCATTTAATGTAATTGTTTCTAAACACAGTGTTTATACTGCCGATGCGATTCTTGCAATTTTCGAGTGAACTTTTCTACTACTTTTCTTAGTGAAACAAACCGCGTAACAAACAAAAGAAATATAGTGAAATGGATTATTTATATTTATAAATAATTTGAGTTGCAAGAACGACTGTACAAACGTAAGTATATATATATATATATATATATATATATATATATATATATATATATATATATACATATATATATATATATATATATATATATATATGTATATGCATATACATATAAATATGTATATATGTATGTATATATATATATATATATATATATATACATATATATAGATATATATGCATATATAAATATGTATATATGTATGTATATATACATATATGTATATAGATATACGTATAAATATATATATGTATGTATATATATATATATATATATATATATATATATATATATATATATATATATATATATAATCTTGATAAGATATTTCCATCGTAATTATTCGAATGAGGACTTCGCAGCAAGAAACTGACATCGGGAACTCATCAATCTACAGGCTATATGCTAGCTATATGTAACCGTAAGTTCTATGCTCACACTTTCTTCTCTTGCACTAATCGCTTGTGGAACTGCCTTCTGACTTCATACTTTCCAGACAACTTTAATCTGTAAAAATTTAAATGCAATATCAATTGCTATCTATTTCTACTGGATTACTATTTCTTCTTTCTGCTCATCGTTAATGTTTCTTTCGCTCATTCTCCCACATCCTGTAGCCCATTGTGTTTTAGTGTCAGCACTGTCTTGCTTGGGTTAATTTTGAATAAAAAAAGAATACATATATGATACGATCATGAAAAAATCTACAGGATAAACTGCAAATATATCTGTTCTGGCCTGGGCTCTCGGCTTCATTTATTTTTTACACCGTACTAATGTAATTTCTCTGTGACTTTTCTATATATAATTTCATGGAAATTATTCTGATAAGAGTTCCTTTTTGGTACATGGACTTAACGAATGGAAGTGTAGTCGCAGATTGATAGCTACGTCTCATTTTTTTACAGTTGAAATTGTAACCGTAATTCTATTCTGACAGTTTCTTGAAAAGATGAAACAATGCTGACAAAACAAACCGATGTATGTCTAATATCCAGAACGTGCTAATGAAGCCTATTTTGATAAAGTTAACACTTATCTTTGGTCATAAGCCTCTGGATTAAATGCTGAAACCGAAGGATTTACTCTTGCAGTGCAAGTCTCTTCTTTGCAATCTTTCAGTTAAATATCATGCATAATAGTGTGGATCCAAAATGCAGGTTTTCTAACAGATATCATGAAACCATAGACCATCAAATATCAGTATGTTCTATATTGCACCAAATGAATATAAAAATCGTCACATTAGTGGAGGGTAACACTTACACTAGACATTGTGGAGACACTTTGGAAAAGTTAATAAACACCGGTATGAACATCAACCAACACCGGTTACAGAAATAGAAGACATCACAATTCTATGGGATTACACCATCCTTAAAGAGGGGAAGATTGATGCAAATAGACCGGACATAATTGTCAAAAAATCAAAAAAACTTGTCTACTGTTTGATACGACTTGTCTAGTGGATTATAACATAGCAACGAAGGTATTTGAAACATTGTCGAAGATTAAAGACCGGGAAATCGAAACCAAAAAAAAAAAAAAATGAAAGCAAGAACAATGCCAGCCTTATAGGTGCGCTTGGAATGATAAAAAAGGAACGCAACGACACCAGGAAAAAATCCCTTGAAACCTCAGATTAAGAGAAATACAAAAAGATTATTTTGATAAATACCTCCCACACACTAAGTAGAACTTTGTCCATGTAACGGTAAGAATGTTATGGAAGTTGAAAAAAACATCATGAAATATAGCCATAAATGAAATGTAGCCATAAAAGAAATGTAGCCATAACAACACACTACTACCTGTCTTAGGTCTTACCACCGACCTGGTAGCTAGTATGACCAAGTCGAAATCGAAATGTATTAATGATGCTAATAATAATAATAATAATAATAATAATAAAAAAGAAATGCAAAAGATTGTACTCACATATACAGCTCACTACTTACGAAGAGCTTTATCTGTGTAAAATGGGTAATATCTATGTAAAATGACTTTATGTGTGTAAAATAGTTTGTTTTTTTGGGGGGCGGGGGCGGTGTCCAAAGGGATGCTCAGTAGAAAAATATCATGATGCCATTTCTGACCTTAGGTCTCTGGTTGGGACCCGGAAAGAAATGTGTATACACCATAAATCAAAGGAAATAAATAAATAAATAATATTTTTATTATAACCACATTCCTTAATAGTCGCTACATTCACAATCTAAGTGCATGCCATTTTGAAATCCATCCAGAAAAGCTATAATTTTCCATTCGATATTTTTGAAGAGATGAACACCTCGAGGCGAAAATATGGAAAAGCACGTTGTATGATAATTTACGCTTGTAGACTTCAAAATGGCGCTGTTATACAATGATGGTGATGCTCATTTCCAGAAAGCACAACGCACGATATGAGGTCACATGACACATTATTTCCCCCCTCCCTCCCCTCTTTTGCGCAGTAAATTTTCTTTCTTTCTTTATACGATTAATTTTATTTATTTATTTTCTATAGTTGTTCTCCTTTTCTTAATTCTGCTTCTCATTCCATTATGCCTTCGCTGTCTTATTTTCTTGGTATTTTAAATTTTCTGCTTCCTCTCATCGTTCCTTGTTCGCGTCAGTCTTTCTGTTTACTTTCACTGTAAATGCTTCGCGATTAAACGCCTTGATTTTTATGGAACATTACAGTTACATTTCCATCTCTTTCACGAAATTGTTCTACAAATCCATTCAAATTGCTGGATTCAAATGAAACCTTCCTCGGCAGCAGAAATTCGAATCTTCAAAAATGTCCAATTTTGTTAGAATCGTACAACACATTCTTCTACTCAGAAAATGCGTTTTGTGAATGTTATCTTGATAAAGCAAATATTTTTTTTTTAAAGAACCTTTCGGAATCTTTGCTGAATACGTCAGGTAATTTATTTATGCACCGGGCGAAATTGTGTACAAAAACGTGTTTCATTATTTTATATTTAAACAAGGAAGAACAGAATTTATGGCACATCTTAATTTGACTCATAAATGTTGCAGAGAAATAAATTTAGTACTTTAGCGTTCATTAGTCCTGCCGCTAGCAACGACAATTTTCACAATCGAAAATATTGAATTTTATCATTCTAGAAAGGGGTTCTGTTAATACTATAAACAGATTGTCAATTCGACCTCTGACTTCATAAAGAGTTATACATTGTTTTTATCTTTAAAAATGTCAAGATCGATGCTGTTTACGTCACTCTACTGACGAGTGATATCCTTTCTTTTTTTTCAATACGCAGTTATCAATAACGTCTGCACAGTTCCAAACTTGACATTTGTAAATGATAACAAAATAAAGGTAACTATTTCTGGTGATTTTCTAAGCTGAGATGTGGCACAGGGCCAAAAGTATGGAGCGCTCATAGAAGACCGGATCCACTACTCAGTCATAATTGTTCTAGCGAGGCAAGCTTGCTAAACATTACACCATGTCGAGGTGCCATTTCATGATTTTCTAAGCGTAGGAAGAAAGCATGGGGTACCCAGTAAGGATCGAACTCACTACACACTCGTAATTGATCTAGCTAGAGAAGCATGCTAATAAGCTGTGGTACCAATTTTCTCAGCGTATATTAGATGTAGCACAAGGCTGAAAACATGGAGTACACAGTGTGGATCGACCTCAGTATTCAGTCATTTGATCTAGTGAGACAAAATTGCTAACAATTATAACACGTTGAGGTGCCATATAGTGATTTTCTAACGAGACTTAGATGTGCAACATGGCTGAAAGCATGGAGCATCCAATGAAGTTCCAACTGACTATTTAATTGTAATAGAAATAGTGAGACAAGATTGCTAACAATAATACCACGTCGAACTGTCTACTGTACACCTTTATGAAGCCAGGGATGAAATTGCACACTCTGATCATATTATGAGTAAAGCCTGTTCTGTTGATATTTGCAAAAAGTACTTAATTTATTTGTAGAAGGTTAAATAACTACAAATAAGTCGACACGGACTCAATAACGTCTACGTCACAGCCTCGTAGTCGACACAACACCTGCTTCTAAAATGATTATTTTTTTTTAATTAATATATTTCGATTCTGGTAAATAACGGGGCTTGCGAAATCTCTAATGAATTGTAATCTAGTAAATCTGTAGAAAGAATTCTTCAATATCTTTTACGAGTGGACCAGTCATTTTAAGTAGTGTCGATTTTATTTTTGCGTACGATGTTCAGGCATAAACGTACAGTTATCACTGAAAGAGTCCATCTTTCCTGGACGTCAAATACAGAGAATCACTTCGAATCCTCTATACGTAGAAGCATATATGTTAAGGAGGCGGCCACAATCTTAATAACATAAGATATGCAGATTAAACTGTGTTGATATAACGCACGGGAAGAAAGCTACAAAATAGTCCTATAGAAGGTAGCGAAGGAAAACGAGAAGAAAGGACTAAACATCAACTGCAAGAAGATTGAATGCACGGTTGTTATCAAAATTATGAACCCAAAATGCAATTTACAAGACGGATTTGGATGAACAAAGATGCATTCCAAAACTTAGCAGAGCATTAAGCAACAGAAAAACTCAATTAGAAACCAAAAAACTGGCCTGTTACACGATATATGTCCTCCTATATGGCAGTCAATGCTGATCGATTTCTTCATAGATGAAAAAGAGACTTGACGCAACAGAAATCTGATTCTACAGTAGGATGCTTAGGATTCCATAGATTGAACATATGAGTAACGATGAGGTTTTAGGGAATTGCAAACAAAAATGAAACATTATTTACATTATTCGGACTCAAGGAAACATAGCACAGTGGATAAAGGTGTTGGTTAGATCCAGTGACAGGACTCAAAGAGTGTGAGTTTAATACCCGGTTAAGGCAGTGGAGAACATTCAGAGGGAAATTAACAGGAGATAACTGATAGCTCACATCCATCAAACATGGCAGGTGGAACTAGAACAGTCTAGCCCAGTGAGCGAATTAAAGGGCTCAGTTCGACATTCCAACCACCTGAAGAAGGCCGGAGCGATACGTTGTGATAAATATGGCAGAAAAGATGAGGACACTAGTCCGAATAATATAAATAATGTACATAATATCTCATCTCAGAAATATAGAGAGACTCCAAAAATGAAACATACATAGCATCAGGAACAGGCAGTTAAATTTTCTGGGTGAATGACGGATTAGAGCTTGAAAAATCTGATACTCACAGGCCAGTCTGAGGGCAAGAATGACAGTGGAAGTGGCGATATTTCTGGTTCGACGACACCGAACGACGCCGGTCGCGGCTAGGGCCGGGAAAACCGGGACGAACGAAACGCCGGCCCACCTAGTTTGAGTAAATGAAGGGCGGAACAGTGTGTAGGAGAAATAAGAAAAAGAAAAAAAATATTAAGAGCTACAAATGACAAGACATTGTGGAGAAGCATGATCGCCTATTTCCTGAAGGGACACGGTTAGGAGGCACTGTGGATAGTGGCTCGGATTGAGAAGTCGGAGAGCCGAGTTCGAATTCCAGTCGAATCCATTACATTCACTTATGTACTATTACCCTTGGGAAAGGTATGAATCCTCTTCTCCCCCAAGCTAGACACGGCTCTATGACCTTGGATAGCAATTGGTCTACCGCAGAACGAAATGGCAACATACCTGGGGAAATAAAATAAAACAATCTGCCTCGTCAGACATGTATCGAAAGATACATGATCGCCTAAGCATGGCACATAACTGACTTCTTCTTTGAACCTAATATCCAGCTGGACATTTGTCCTTCATTTAGATCGAGAACACTTCTCTTTTCTGCATTAATTTTTATTTTCATTGTATTATTTTTCGAAATGTCTCTCTATCACATTTCTCCATAAAGCATTCACTGAATAGTTTTTAGTTTTTATCTAGTAAAAGACAGAACATATTGTGTTAAACATAATGCAAGCATACAAAGTCAAAGATTTTTATTTTCGTACTTTAAAAAAAAATAATGGCGTTAAGCAGTAATCAATAACCTAATCATGGTTGCTCTACTCGAATGTGATCAAGCATTTAATGTATTCACTTCATTTGGACCCTTTAAAAATCAATTTTGTGGAATGTAATGCACTTTGGGATAATCCTATAAAAAGAATGCGAAAGAAGAGAAAAGATCATTTTTAAAATGTAAGCTGTGTCGCCTATCCATCCTAGCGCAATGTCATCGTTATTCGAACTAACATAGTCTAATATATATATATATATATATATATATATATATATATATATATATATATATATATATACATCATCACTGATAAGACACTGAGAGTGTTGAAACAAAATGGCTATTTTTGTAGTGATTTTATAACATATTTATGTTATAATTTTTTTTTAAATAAATAATTATATATATATATATATATATATATATATATATATATTTAAGAAAGGGAGATAATTAGTAATTGTTATAAATAAAAAGGAGCTCCTTTTAAATTTCAATGACATGTAATCATCAGAATAAAGAATTATATGATTAGTTGATTGAACTGAATATATATGTTACATAATTTTTCAAGATACTTTCATATCTGAAAATGTACTTATGTAAACACTGTGCGCGGTAAAACTAAAGATACCTGAGAAGAATAGATAACGTCACTAAACATGTTGATCCCATTTGCTTTTCCGAAGTGTTTTGCATATATTATATTTCAAGTGTTCGTTTATGATCATATAAAATATTTATCGGCGTTACCCAACTTATTGATTTGGACACCAGCTGTATATGACAGATTTAAATAGTTCTTAATTTGGAAGTAACCATTTTTGCCAAAAAACAAAAAACAAAAAATAAAAACAAAAATATGAGCGTAAAATCAATGCTTTTATTTTGCATATTTTAAAATATTTACTATGTAGATATCGCGATGAAATAAAAAGAATAATAAATTTGGTTTGGAGAAGGACCAATTTTATGATATAAACATTGCAATCGAAAGAAATGAAACAGCTGTGAAGCGATGATAAGTCAAGTGTCGGTGTTACCCCATCTTGTTTGCGAGGACACTTGCTAGGTGACAGTCTATTCTGGAAGACATATGGAAAGCATATAAATACCGTAGCTCACTTTCTGTGTTGAGGTGGAGTAGTAGCAACACGGGGAATATCGTTTCCGGAAAACCGACAAGTTAATTTCAAACTGACTGCCTGGATACTCAGACAGGTACAAATCTTACGGCTTTTTTAGTTGTCTACACAAACGTAAATATAATTATATCTTTCTCTACTTTTGTAAGCCCTATTCTATATAAATATATCGATAAATAAATTATAAATAAATATATTTATAAATAAATATATCTATAAATAAATTATAAAAAGAATATAAATAAATATATCTATAAATAAATTATAAATAGATTGTAAATAAATATATCTATAATAAATATATATAAAATAAATTATAAATAAATTATAAATAAATATATCTATAAATAAATACATCTATAAATAAATTATAAATAAATTATAAATAAATATATCTATAAATAAATATATCTATAAATAAATTATAAATAAATTATAAGTAAATATATCAAGAATAAATAAATTATAAATGAATTATAAATAAATATATCTATAAATAAATTATAAA